CCACACTGCTTGCTCTTCACCCCGTGGCTCCCAAAGGGCTCCACGCATTTGGATGGGGACACAAATGATTCCCTGCCAGGCCCTTGGCTCCTACCACCTGGCTCCAGGTCCCAGGCCTAGAGCCAGCAGCGCTGCGGAAGGTGTGGGCTAGAGCACGGTCCTCGTGAGATGTCACCCGTCTCCTGGCCCTTGTCGGTGGAGAAAACCCGGAAGCAATTGAGATGGTTAGGGGAACCTGCTTAGAACACATGCCTTTGAGAGAAGCACAAGGAGCAGGGAAAATTGATACGGAATCATCCTTTATGTAGAAAAAACATTTTGAAGACTTTTCTCTTTCCATGTGATGCAATCCGGAGACTTTCAGCTTCTGCAGAGGACCTCAGTCCTCTGCCGGTCTCTTAACAACTATTAGTTGGGTGGCTGCCATGGGTCAGGCTCTGTGTGAGAGGCTGGGGGATTCCTGAAGAGCAAACCAGACAAAATACCTGCCCTCTTGGATCTTAGAGCAAAGTGGAGGAGGTAAATATCTAACAGATAATTATAGCAGAAGTATCCAATTATGTTTGAAAAGTGTTAATAAGGAAAGTAGCAGGGACTGCTACAAAGCATGTACGTGGGGACCTAATCTTGTGCTGGGAGTAGGAGGTGGTCACAGGAGCTCCTTGAGGAAACACATTTAATCTGATACCTGCTGGATGAGCAACCATCACTGAATTAAAAGCCAAACAAAGAATTTTATGTACCTCCAAGAGAGATAGTTCTAGACTTTCACAGGCCTCATAACCAACTAATTTGCCCCCTCCTCTAGGTAGTACTGGATGGTCTGCTTTGCCACATGTGGCAGAATACTAGGAAAGCCAAACATTGGACAATTGCTCCCAGTATCTTCACCCTTCCTGTGAGGGGTTGATGTGCAAGTTCCAGAAAAATAACTGAACTGCCACTCTTGAGGGGCAAAACCACAGTTAAGGTCAAGGTAGTTTTACTAATGTTTGGAAACCAAGGATTGGGGCATTCATATTCGAGAACGCTCTATAGATACTCAGAGTATCCAAAACATTGATGGAAAGGAATTCACTCAGGAGACGCAATCTGACGGTCTCTTCAGGTTTGCATGGAGCAATGAGCAGAAATTAATAGAAAAAACACATCCATGAGTACCCAGTGAAGATGATCCACCCAGAGGACTTACCTTTCTGGACAGCAGTTTGTCACAATAAATCAAAAGCCTTAGAAAGGTTTACATGAGACCACGCCACCTCTAAAAATCCTTGTATAAGGTGGATGGCCACTGCCCCCTTATTTAATATAGAGCAAAGCTGCCAACAAGGCACCCGGTCAAAAATAAACCTTCAGCTCAGGGGTGCTCAATGGTGGTACTCCTGGCATTCGGGAGGGGTGGCTTTTTCTTTGTGCAGAATCATCTGGTAATTTTCAGGATGTTAAGCATCTCAAGCCTCTACTCATTTTAATGCTAGTGGAACTATTTTGACAATAACTACCCCCTTCTAAACATACATTTCCAAATGCTCCCTAGTGGTGGGTGGGACCACTGCAGATAAGAAACTACCAATGAGGACCAGACAATCATTCCAAAGGATAATCTGGATCTAAATACACAGATACCAAAAACTGTTCACAATACATGAAGTGAAACAAAAGTCAGGGTAAGTTTGACAGCATCATCACATTTTTGTCTAAAACAAAATGGAAAGTTCTCCCATTACAAAGATACTTGCTGCATGCACACAATAAAGTGTGCAAAACAATAGTCCTTGATTCGTGGAATTATGGGTGACCTACCTAGAACACGGTAGGCACTCGAATAAATGTCTGCTGATGTGAGTCAGCCTTTTATGTCTTGATTGAGCCAGAATTTTGCTGCCAGATCCTTTAGGTTTTAACATCACTTTGATTCAGTGGTTCTCAACTGGGGTGACCAACCCACCCCCCAGGGTCACAGGACACTGCCTGGAGACAGGTTTGGTCACCCCAAGGTCCAGGGGAGCGGGTGGTGTATGCTCCTGGGATCTAGTGGTAGAAGCCAAGGAAACTGCTAATCATCCTACGTTGCACAGGACAACCCCAACAGCAAAGAATTATCCAGCCCAGAATTCCAATAGTGCTCAGGTACTGAAACCCTGCTCACCATTTGCCTTTCTTATGGCTTGTTAAGTATCCTCCAAATTCTTCCTGAAGTATCATCTACTGTAAATTGATCACTAGAACATCTCTAGAAGACAGAGATATTATTAACTGATTTGAAGACAAATTGGAGCTTGAAAGAAGACTACAGATGGTCAGTCAGGGCAGCTGAGGTACTGGAGGGCTCTCTGGATGACGTGACACACCTTGTTTGAGGTGAACAGAGCGGAAGGATCGGAGCAACCTCACTGATGACTTTTCAGTCCGGTCATTAAAAATCACGGCATAAATGCTCTTCCTTTCTGGCACCATCTATTATATTTATCACTTTTTGCTCTACTTTAAGAAGGTCAGGTTTTGCAGCTAGTAGGTTTTCATGAAATTAAATGCCCCTATTCAAAAACACCTCCCTAAATGGGAGGTGACTTCCAGGTGCATTATACTTAATTGAAGGCATTTCTCAGGAGAAATAGAATAATAAAGGGTATCACCTGAAGGTGTATTACCAACCCCATGATCAGGGAGTCAAATGAAAGGTTTTTAACAGAAATGAAAGCGCATGACTCTCAACTCTGGCCTTTCGTATTTCGCGCCTGTAGCACAAAGCATTTAACTTTCACTGTAATTTCTCTTGATAGAAAAATGAAGTTTCTTAAATCAGAGACAACTAGACATGATATTAAACATCAGCGTTTTTAGTGAAAAGCATTCAAGGTCTCAAATTTGTCTAATCTTAGAACATTCCACACAGCTTTAAAAAAAAATCTTTAAACATATAAATAGTTCCATAAGTAACAGATTTTAAAAGATCTTAGAATTTTAAAATTTGAATTCCATTTCTTTCAGGCAACATGATCCCTTCAGACACCTTTAAATGCAGACTCCCATTTTATTAGGCAAATATACAGCCCTTCAAATGGCTTGAAGAGAGAGTCTCTCTGGAGAACAACAGCCCTTCCTAACCCTCTGTGTCACGTAAGTCTGAAGAAATTCAGGGAATAGAGAAAACCACCCAAGGAATAGCAGAATTATAAGAGATGGGAATATCCGTTCATTGGACATAATTCAAACCACTTGTTTAATAGCATTAATTGTTTTCTATCAAAACAAATCAAAGAAAATTGTTTTATATTTCCCAAAAATGTTCATTTTGGGTGAGTCAAGTAGCCTTTAAAAATACTATCAGCACTCACTTTTGGAATTGGTGAACTGAACCAAGACCCCAACTTCTGCAACTGTCTGTTCTCTTGGGCCAATCAAAAATTTTCTTTGCGTCTGGAAATCATAGGATGATGTTTCATGGTCTTAGAGAAGAGTCTACCTAAGCAGGAACCCCAAATAGCTTAGCTTCAGAATTTCAGGGCCCAATTTAGCAGAAAGTGAGGTGAACAAAAGAAAGATGGGTCTCCTAGAAGCTGCTGCAAATGAGGTTAGCAAGAAAATGAAACAAGCTCACAGATGTATCTAGGTGTGAAAACTCCCTGCTCAAACACTGGCAGGAGAATGGTGATGTCAAACAAAGATATTCAATCACCCACCACCTCATTTGAGTGTTCAGACAAACTCAATCAAATGCTCTCATTCTTCTGAAGCTTACTCTTTAATAATACAATCTTCACCGAAACAGAAGGAAATAAAGATATAACCTTAACCTGCAAACCGAGAGAAAATGTTCTTATTTTTTTCCTGCTGATATCTCAAATCCTCATGGAGATTATTTTCTGTGAATGTTTCTGTTCTAAAACATTTTCTTCCTCATAAGAATGAGAACAGAGATCACAAAAATGAAGTGCCTGCAGGGCTTAGGAAGGTCTTCTTCAAGACATAAATATGAACTTTTACATAAAAACTCCAAATATTTAAGGATTAGTAACTAATTCAAAAATTTAAATAATACTTTGCTGGCTAAACAAATCCTACCTGTGTGCCTGATTTCGGGTGCCAATTTGCGACCTCAAATATTGGAAGAAGAAAATGGCTAATCAAAGAGATGTTATTAGGGGTCCACTCTTGAGTTGTTTGCAAATTCTTGGGTCTTCCCTAATCATAAAGAACTTTTTCTAGCAGCATTATCACACCAAAAGTCCCTGACTTTAAAATTTCAGGGTATTTTAAGCTTCCAAACATTCTGTCCGACATAGGGAAGATCACTAGAGTCGGCCATTTTCTTTCTCAGAGGGGCAAAACTAGGGTGTAGCTCTCAAAGATGATGAGAGTGTCTAGCTTAAGGAAGGGGCTTCTAAACCAACATGAGGCTGGTGGAGGAGAAAACTCCAAGTACAGAAATGCAAAGCGGAGGCTATCACTGAGGAAAACGCAGTGAAACAGGAAGAAACCGAGTTCATCTGATTGAGCCAATGATATTTGCAGCCTGTAGGTAGTTCAAATATTTCAGGAAATGCCAATGTCTTTCTTTGTAAAGCAAGGCCAAACTTAGTATTTAAACACAGCATATATCACTGGGAAGAATAAGGCAAATCCTTATGTCCTCACTCACCTTTAACAAAGAATCTTAAAGATTCATGGCCAATGTAGAACTCCCTTCCCCCCTTCAAAAATCAAATTTCCGTTTCTAATGTTTCAAAGCCAACATTTCTGAGAAGTTTCTAGTCAATCTTCTGTTGACAGTTAATAATGACAATCCAGAATGAATTAGCAATGGCCCACGTAGGACTCATTTTCATTTCTCTTTGTAAGTGCCCACTGGTGCCCCAGACATTGTCAACCCATGGAGCCCCAACCACTTCTCTGAATCATCAAAGTGAACTCTTCCTTCTGAGCTGGAATAAGGAAGGATGAGCAGGACAAAGATAAATAGCCCAAACCACAACTGCCCTCCCCATCAAGAATGGTACCTGTTCAGGCTTCAGCCCCGGTGGGATCCAGGCGTACTCCTCCAAGGCACAGCCTGAGTCATCGTCTGATGTGGAGTTCCTCTGGAAGTCAAACATGAGTTTGCTGACAGTCTTCTCCATCTCTAGGGGCATCACTGTCACCATGTGCTCCTCCTGAGGGCACTTGCAGTGTAGGCAGATCTTCCTGCAAGCAGCAAAGGCGGGAGATGAGAAGGAAGGCAAAAGAAACCATTTTTCACCTGGCTGCCAGTCATCAGCCCTTGGATCCCAAGCCATAAATGCATTCCTTGGCAACTGCCTTTTGGCAAGAGCGCCTAAAGTGGCGCCCCACAGCACACCTGTCTTCTTGGAAGGTGTGGTGCTGCACACATGGAAACGTCACAAAAGGTCAGAAGCCACTAGGTAAGCCTCATGAGAATGTTCGAACATGGACTCCAACCTATTCTTCTAAATCAGTATCCCAAGAGCAATGTCAAAATATCTTTTACACTTAGTAGAGCACTGGATATGGACCATGACTGCAATTTTCTTAACTATAATAGTAATTAAACAGACATAATACATATGCTGACCTGAAATATTACCAGTGGATTTAACAAATACTGACAACATACCATTTTCATAAAAGCGTCCTAGAAGCTTGGGAAATGGTAGATGTTTTAAAGAGAACTGCAGGTGAGATTTTCTTTAAGAAAAAGAGCAAGAATATATTTTTTCCACCAAACAAATCTGGCCCCAAGATCTCATGGGAAAGACATTGTCACCTCTACTAAATATCCCCATAGGTTTGAAATTCTAATCAGAAACCCAAATCTTTCCTACATTGGTTTTTTTTTTTTTTAAATATACAGTACAAGAGGATCATGCATGTGAATTATTTCAAAAGGTAGCAGCCAAAGATAAAATCTCTCCCCAAAGTTGAACATTTCTCTTTTAAGGTTACCATCTGTTCCCTTTTCCACGGCTACAAAAATGATGAAGCAGTGAAAAGGTTGATGTCAGCAGCACAAAAGCATTTCTAGCTTCTACCAATAAAAAAGAGAAGAAAAAGAAATCACGGAGGAAAATTTTTAGAAAATGAGTTGTTGTACATGGTATTCAGATCTTTTATTAGTTTCAATAGCATCTTATCCAGGCCATGAGAGGGCCCAGAATCCTAATCCCTACATGGGCCTAATTTTTTTGACAACAGCTTTGTTAAGATAGAAGTCCCGTATCACCAAGGTCACCATTTTAAAATGTACAAATCACTGGCTTTTAGTGTATTCACAGAGTTGTGAAACCATCACCACTATTTAATGCTAGACGTTTTAATTAACCCAAAAGAAACCCAGGGCACATTAGCAGTGACTTTCTACACCCCCTTTCCCCCCAGGCCCTGACAACCACTAACCTATTTTCTGCCTCTGCGGCTTTGCCTGTTCTAAATTCCATATGTATGGCATCCTGCAATACATAGTTTTTTGAAACTGGCTTTTTTTACACAGTAGGATGTTTTCAAGATTAATCCATATTATAGCATGTGACAATCCTTCCTTCCCTTTTACTGCATTATGATATTCTAGAGTATGGTTAAGTTACATTTTGTCCATCCATCCAATCAGGTGGCCATTTGGATTGTGTCCACTATTTTTACTTTTGTGAATACTACCGCTCTAAGTATTTCTATACAAGTATTTTTGTGTGAACACAGGTTTTCAATTCTCTTGGCTATACACACAGAAGTAGAATTGCTAGGTCAGATGGTAACTTTATGTTTAACATTTTGAGGAACTGTCAAACTGTTTTGCAGAAATAGCTGTACCATTTTACATTCCCACCATTAATGAATGACTGTTTTATTTTCTCTACATCCTTGCCACACTTTTTAGTATCTTTCCGTTGTTTCCATCCTAGTGGGTATGGAGTGGCATCTTATTGTGATTTTGATTTGTACTTCCTTAATAGCTAATGATATTGAGCATCTTTCTATGTGCTTATTATATATCCTCGTTGGAGAAATGTCTGTTCAAACTCTTAGTCCGTGTTTAAACTGTTATTTATCTTTTTATTGTTGCATTATAAGCATTCTTTATATATATTTCTGAATACAAGTCCTTTATCAGAAATAGGATTTGTAAAAATATTCTGTGGGTGGTCTTTAGTTTTTTGTTTTTTTTTTTGAACACTTCCAAGTCTGTTCTTTTTTTTTTTAACAGAGGCCTTTGGGATTTTAATTAATTAACTAATTATTTATTTTTACTGGAGGGGGTGCAGAGAGAGAGGAAGAGGGAGAATCTTAAGCAGGCTCCATGCCAACACGAAGCCTGATGCAGGGCTTGATCTCACAACCCTGGGATCATGACCTGAGCCAAAATCAAGAGTTAGATGCTTAACTGACTGAGCCACTCAGGTGTCCCTGGTTTTCACTTTCTTGATGATGACTACTGAAGCACAAACATTTCTTATTTTGATAAAGTCCCACTTATTTTTCTCTTGCTATTGCTTGTGCTTTTGGTATCCTATCTAAGAAACCACTGTCTAACTCGAAGTCATAAAGATTTATTCCTATGTTTTCATCTAAGATGTTTATGGCTTTAGCTCTTATATTTGGGTCTATGTTCCATTTTGAGTTAGTTTTCAAGCAAGGTAGGAGTCCAGCTTCATACTTGTGTAGTTACTCAACTGTCTTAGCACCATTTGTTAAATAAAAAGTCTATTCTTTCTCCATTGGACTGTCTTAGCATCCTTGTCAAAAATCAGATGATCATAAATGTAAGGGTTTATTTCTGGATTTTCAGTTCTATTCCATTGAGTTATCTGTCTGCCTTATGCAAATACCACTCTGTCTTGATCACTGTAGTTTTGCAGTAGGTTTTGAAATTGTAAATGTAAATCCTCCAACTTTGTCCTTGTTTTAAAAAAAATTGTGCTAGCTCTCTTGGGTCCCTGGCATTTGCATCATGAAATATGAATTTTAGGATTAGCCTGCCATTTTCTGCAAAAAATCTAGCTGAGATTTTGATAGGAATTGCACTGAATCTAGACATCAATTTGGAGAATATTGCTATCTTAATATTAGATCTTCCAATTCATGAACAAAAGACGTCTTTCCATTTATTTCAGTCTATTTTTTTTTTAAGATTTTATTTATTTATTTGACAGAGAGAGACAGTGAGAGAGGAAACACGAGCAGGGGGAGTGGGAGAGGGAGAAGCAGGCTTCCAGCCGAGCAGGGAGCCTGATATGGGGCTCGATCCCAGGACCCTGGGATCATGACCTGAGCCGAAGGCAGACGCTTAACGACTGAACCACCCAGGTGCCCCTATTTCAGTCTATTTTAATTTCTTTCAATGCTATTTTGTGCTTTTCACTCACAATCTTACACATCTTGTTAAGTTTATTCCCAAGTATTTTATTCTTTTTGATGCTATTGTAAATGGAATTGTTTGCTTAATTTCATTTTCAGATTGTTACTGTATAGAAACACCAATGGTATATATACATTGATCTTGCATCATACAGTCTTATTGAACTCGTCTTTTCAGTTTCAAGAGCATGGTGTGTGTGTGTGTGTGTGTGTGTATTCCTTAGGATTTCCTATATACAAGATCATGTCATCTGCAAAGAGAGCTAGTTTTATTATTTCATTTCCAGTTTGATACCTTTTATGTCTTTGTCTTGCCTTCTTGCCCTGGAGAGAACTTCCAGCACAATGGTCAACCCAAGTGGCAGTGGCAGACATTTTTGTCTTGTTCTTGATCTTAAGGAAAAACATCCAATCTTTCACCATCAAGTATTATTTAGCTATGGGCTTTTTGTAGATGCCCTTTATCAAGTTGAAGAAGATTCTTTCTACACTGGTTTGTTGAGTGTTGTTATCGTTTGCATCACAAAAGGGTGTTGGTTTTATCAAATGCTTTTTTTCCCTCTATTAAGATGATCAGTTGGCTTTTGTCCTTACTCTATTAATGTCTTGTGCCTAAATTTTGACACCAAAATGTACTCAAGAAACAAAATCAGTCTAGTTCAGCCAACTCAGTCTTGTCAGATTCTCCCACTTCCAGCTTTTCATCGGATTGAAAATATGCACAGACAGAATGCACACTTGGATCTGGTTTGCATCTCCAAACTCAAAGAGGTTTCTTCCAAACCCTGGCTGCTACTTTTAAAAATAGTCAGAGCCCATTTTAACAGTAACTCTTTAATTAACCAGCTACTGTAAAGAAGTCAGGGGTGTTAGGAAGTGGTCAGGGATTTTTCCCTCCAGTTATTTTTATACCAGTTAATGACTTAAGGGAAAAAAAAAACCTCAGTGTGTTTAAGCAACCTTAGGAAGCTCTTTGGTGACTAATGGCTTATACTAGAAAGCCATACTTTTCAAACAAAATGTAGAAGAATTTTTAACAAATTCAGTCTCCAGAATATTCATCTGTACAACCCATGTATTCAGCAGTGCAGGGAAGCAAGTGTAATAATACAATATTTAATGTTTAATGGACATAATCTAATGAACTGAAGCTCCAGAAGAAGAAAAAAGACAAGAAGAAAACAAAATACAGAATTACAGAACCAGACCCAGAATGAATCTCACTGAGTAGAACTATGAACAGAACAGAGAAAGGGGAGAGGGCTTAGGGCCGATTTCGTCACCCAACAACTATCAAGCACCTACCATGTGCCAGGCACTGCTCTTGCACTCAGGAAATCTAACCAAAACAAATAAGGATTTCTGCCTTCCTGGAACTCAAGCAATCCCCCTAACAAATAATTTGATCAAATAGCATATTAAAGATGCTAAGCACTAGGGAATGCACGAACGGTGAAGCTGGATGAGGGTGATCTGAATTGGGGAGGGTGCATTTGGCTTATGTATACCTTACACCCGTGAGCCCAGATCTGTACACCAGCCCTCCAAGAAAGAAAATATCATCCCCACTTTCCAGAGAAGAAAACAAAGGCCCAGAGAGATCAAGCAACATGTTCAAAGTAAACCCTAAATGGTGAGCAGAACAGAGACTCAACATAGGATTTACTTGATGCCTGAACCCTAACAATTAACTGCAGAAGGCATACCTGATCCCAAGCACAAAATACCCTTTTGCTCTTGAACAACAAACACATTCAGAAAAATCAAAATCAAAGAGAAAACAAAGAAAAAAGAAAACAAAATGGTAAATCGAAACCATGAGGACCTCATGTGTT